AAGTACAGTGTGTTTCAATACAGAAATAAATTTGATTGAATAGGAGACAGTAATCAAGTCAAAACAATAAATTATGGATTATCATCAGAAAAAAAATCTGTGGCTTTGGGACTATAATATAGAAATCCAAAATCACTCAGAAGCCAAATCTTAAAGATGAATTGTTCTTTTATTAGTCTATATGGAGTAGGTCTATAGTACTGGAATCTAATACTGTTGTGGTACCTGCCATTGGTTTTTATCGCTCCTTAATCGTCATTTGGAAAGGCAATATTCTATAGTGACATCACTAAACACACCATGAACCAATGGATCAAGACAGTAATTCTAGCTACTTGAGAGGCTGACAATGAGAAGATCATGATGCCAGACCAGAGCATGCAGAAGAGTCTACAAGACTCCATGTCATAGAAGCAAAGCTGCCTGTGATACCCTCTATGACAGGAAGTTGAAAATAGGCTGAATGTGGCTGATGTGCATGCTTAGGCAGGAATTGAGACCCCTTTCTTAAAAATAACTAGTGAAACAGGGCTGGAGGCATGGCTCGGTGATATCATGCCAGCCTAGAATGAGGTCTGGAGTTCAAATCCTTGACCTTAGTACTGACACACAAAGAAGAGATAAACTTAAACATCCCCCTCATCCACAACCACCACCTTTATAACAAATATCTCTCATAAACCATGGCATTACTATGTATCATAAAATGGGTATTTTACATTCATAGAGGAAGGACACAGTGTTGTCCAGCATCTACAGTATTAGTAGGGGTGGGGAACTTTTTTCTGCTGAGGTCCACACAAAATATCAATATGGACAGACAGCATAGAAAATCAATCAGAAGCATACGTCTTCCATAGACCAGTTGTTCCTTCTAGACACAACCAAGATCAAACATCATTTGAGACCTGATTCTCTTTTCCCATCGAGGGTGGCTATGTCTCCTAAGAAGCATCTAAGGAAATGGAGGTGGTAGCAGTGTCATCCGTTTATTTTATATTCTTTCTACAAGTTTGTTATTCCAAGGACAATCAGCCTATGGTCAGCACAATCTGCATGTTGTTTCACTGTTGCTCTTTTGATGTAATGTCATTATTGCTATTACACCTGCCCTGTAGTGACCAACTATCACTCACCAAAATCTGATATTCAGTAATGGAGGAAGAGTGTATCTTTTAGTATGAATGATTTTATTATGAATATAAGCTTTAAAAAGGGGAAAATAATGCCTTAAGAGGATCTGGCCAAATGGGTAAAACAGAGCTGTGATTTATTTTTAGTCTATAAACACAATCACTCTCAGGAGATGAACAGGTAGTGCTTTTACTTAGTACCTCATAAACTTTGAGTATAGTGTCTTGTCATTTTTTAATGACCTTACATTTCAGCCCAGTAGAACATAAGATCCATGAGATCAGGAATATTGTCTATTTTATCAAAACCCCCAATGTTCTATACAGTGTTTGGTCCAATAGAGTAGATGACGGGGAATATTTGTAAATGGACCTCTGGGGCTTCGAACTTCTTGTCAATGCATGGATCTGTGAAACTTAAATTTCCAAGATGTTTAAAATTTGACCTCTGTAAGTTTTAAGCTAAAGGCATTATTACGTTTGTTCATTTATTTTTGTCAATACTGGGGTTTGAGTTTAGGCCTTCATGCCTTTTAGGCAGGTGCTTTACAACCTAAGCCATGTCCCCAGCCCTTTAGATTTATTTTTCATATATGCTTTTGCTCAGGGCATGGCCTACCTGTGCCTCTCAAGTTGGGATGACAGGCATTAGGGTCTTGCTACTTTTTGTGTGGATTGGCCTAAGTTGCTGTCCTCCTGATCTCTGCCTCATGAGTAGCTGAGATTATAGGCATCCCTTGTGTTTTATTGCTTTTAAAGACATACTGGGGCTGAAATAGTGGCACAGGCCTATAAACCCAGTACTCAGAAGGCAGAGGCAAGACAATTCAGAGTTCTGGGCCAGCCTAGAATACATATTGAGACTTGATAACTAAGCAAGCAAAATAAACAAAACAACAAAAACAAACCCTGGAATTGATCCTGTGGGATTTTGGGTTTTTATATTTTTGGGTGCTGGTTCTGGGGCTTGAACTCAAAGCCTTTGTTCTCATTTGGCTTTTTTTTTTTTACACCACATCTGCAGTCTGGCGTTTTGCTGGTTCTTGGAGATAGTGTTTTAGAGACTTTTCTGCCTGGACTGGCTTTGAACTGTTATGCTGAGATCTCAGCCTCCAGTGTAGCTATGATTACAGATGTGAGTCACTGGTGGTACCCAGCTGTGGAATGTATCTTTGAAACAGAAGTTTCTTTCTCTTCCCCTGAAATCACTGTCAAGGTCAGGTGTATTTTCCTTTTCTGCAAGAAAGTACTGGTAGACTGTTCCATAACAGATTTAGAAAGTGTGTGTGTGTGTGTGTGTGTGTGTGCACACGTGTGTGTGTGTGTGCGCACACGTGTGTATGTGGGCATTGAGTATATTAGATGAAGAGACTTGGAGACAGAATTTTTTTTAATCCTCTTTCCTATTTCACATTTTGTGGTGGTGGTTGTCATTGTCACCATCATAGTCTTCCTCCTCCTCCTCCCCCTCCCCCTCCCCCTCCCCCTCCCCCTCCCCCTCCTCCTCCTCCTCCTCCTCCTCCTCTTTGGGTCCGGTCGTGGGGCCTGAACTCTGGGCCTGGGCGCTGTCCCTCAGCTCTTCAGCTCAAGGCTAGCGCCCTACCACTTGAACCACAGCGCCACTTCCAGCTTTTTTCTTTTTGCTTATGTGGTGCTGAAGAACCGAACCCAGGGCCTCATGCATGCAAGGCAAGCGCTCTACCACTGAGCCACCTTCCCAGCACTTCTTTTTTTTCTTTTCTTCTTTCTCCTCCTCCTCCTATCCCTTTCCGTCTTCTTCCTTTCCCTTCTCCCTCCTCATCCTCTTCCTCCTCCCTCTCCTCTTCCTCTTTCTCATCATTTTCCTCTTCCTCTTCTTTGTTCTCTTCCTTTTCCTTTCTTGTAGTAACATGCAACCAAACCTCCTCTAAGAGAAATTTACAACCTTCTCCTAAAAATTGAGAAGTATAGAAATGACGCCTGAAGCCTCAGGTTGGTTTATGCTGTGCATAATACTGAGTTATGGGTGTTTTCTCTTTCTGATGATGCAGGTGGATGAGATATGAGATTCTAAATATTCTTCTCCTCTTCTTTCTGATTTGGATGATAAGGTACAAAGTGGGTAGATTGATAGTCTCCTTTCCCATTTTTCTTAAGACCAAATTTGGAAAACCAAGGAGTTGGAGTGGTGGTGAGTTTATTCAGAGACTGTGACATCTGCTTAGAAAAAAAAAAGTCACACACATTCTTAAACTCACATTTTGAATGTTTACAGATGAGAAAAATGGAGTAAGCCTCTAGACCAGTTGTGAATGTCTGTAAACTTTCTTGATCCATGTATTTGATTATTTTGATTGTCTTAGAAAATAGGAGCAAAGGAGGAACTGCAGTTTAGAAATCTAGGCTTAAAGAATTCATTGTTTTCTAGTTCATGTTCATAGATGCTGAATTTGGGTTTCCTTGTCCCCGAGTCCTTCTTGGGACGTAAATCAGTTGCAGGCTCTTTGGTGGGTGACTGGGTCAGGCCACAGGAGTTAACCCTCTCAGCCCCCCCTTTCTTCTCATCTCTGAGGATGCTGACATTGATCCTTTTGTGTTTTTCATTTTCTTAATGTAAATTAGGTTAAACATTAGGAAGAACTATGCGATTCCATAACATGATCTTATGCTTATTGTAACTCCCTTGCATTTTACCTCATTTCCCCTTGAGGTGAATTTTAAGGAGCTAAAATGAAGAATTAAATCGCTTTTTATAGTGGACACTTTTTCTTTCTATTGGAGCCCATAGAAAGCTAAGAAACAAATTTGGGAAACACCTCGCACAAGGACTTCATCACCTTCACCTTGTGTGATAGGCTCATTTCTCCATCCATTTTCTGCCTCTTTGTTACCTTACTTGCTCTTATGCATTTTAAATGTATTATATGTACATCGACATAAGAATCCTTAAAGCCTATCTAGAATAAGACACTGAGTAAGAAGCAACCAAGCAAACAAATATTTCTGCATCTGTTTGCTGTTTTTTTTTTTTTTTTTTTTTTGTATTTGGGGGTAGACAAGCACCTGTTCTCAATAGAGAAATCTGGAATTTGTTATTCCAAAATGGCCACCCACATGTGTGCAGCAATAGAGTGTTTATTGGTGAAGTTTTTTTTTTTTTTTTTACTGAAACAACTTTAAATTCTTAGCTGATACTGTTTTAGAATTGGAGAGAAGAAATGTTCAGGATGAAACAATGTTTATTTGTTTTGAGAGTGGCCATTTGTTTGTAATACATTTTAATAAAAGCCTTTACATATACCATCAATAAGTATTTAAAAATGTTCTTTATCACTTAAAGACAGATTCTCTTCCAAATGTAATTCTCAGTATCTTTTAGTGTGCCCTGGTTTGGGACAGAGTTCTGTGTTATTTTCAGAATAGGACAGTGCCTTGTGGAACTGATTTTAATAATTTGAGTATTGTTGTCATAATTTATCATAATTTTATTTTGTTTGCACTGTATGTAATACACAGATTGACTTCATATTAGTTCTTTTCTTGGTTAATTTTGTTAGCCTAAGTCTGTTACCTAGGTTGGAACCCTGCTAGGATCAACAGATAATATAAATACACAATTTGGTTTATTGATAGGTCTATAGCCACATGTTTGAGTCTCAGAATATCTTCCAGTCTGCTAAGCTTAAGTCTCAAGGAAAAATTTCTTTTCTTTGTCTTATTCTGAATTGAAAATATAAAGATCTTAAAACACATGTTTTATCATCCCCAAGTTTTCTAGGCTCTTGGTATCAGAATAACCAGAACAAGAATATTAGGCAAACCCAGATAGCATGTTGTGCCAGGATAATACACAGATGTAATTCAGCAAAACTTATTTTCTCTTTTCAGTTCTGTCTGGAGGACCATTGCCCCAAGGGCATGAATTTGAGCTGTATGAAGTTAGGTTTCATTGGGGAAGAGAAAACCAGCGTGGTTCTGAGCACACCGTTAATTTCAAAGCTTTTCCCATGGAGGTAAGAATAAGAACTGTCTTGTAAAAATCTTGTTGTTTGGTAAAGAATTCTATACATTCCTGAAAACAGTTGGTTTAAAATTGAATGCATAATTCTTGGATTTTATCAGTTCGTAGAATATAATGAAATGTTAAGCTTGGGCTAGCTGGTGAGGTTTTCTACCTACTTACTGGGTTTGGAATGTGTAGGCAAGCAATTGGTCATAATGATGATCCACACATTTTCTTTTCTTCTTATTAGCTTATGTGAATTATACAGAAGTTCATTGTGATACTTTCATGCATGTCCATTATATAGTTTGATCTGATTTCTCTGTCTGTGTTACTCTTTCTTATCTCCTCTCCCTTTGGTCTGTACTTGTAAGGCTCACCCTGGTATAATTCCTTTCTGTTGCCTGTGTAAATTTGGTAGGCCACTTCTCCAGATGCTCAAATAGGAGATGAGCTGGAGACAATTGTTGAAAAATCTCTGCAGTAGTTCAAAAGTCTAGTTCAGTTCACTGATAGTTTAGTCACTGAGGACAGGGAATCCTAGAGAATGAGCAGAGTGGGAATCCTAGAAAATAGTCACTTTATCTGAAGTTTTCCCTCTCCCACTTATCTTCTTAGTGAATGTCCACTTTTTCTCATTATCTAGTTGAAGTGTCTTGTCACTCCTGAGACTTCTTCTGATTTCTTTCCTCAGGCCAAATTCTTCTTTCTGTCCTCCTGGTATACATGCTAGTTCTTATACATCAAGGTCTGATATACCTTTCTTGCTGCTCGTGCTGTTCAGGACAGGGTCTCCCTTTCATTGTTTTGTTGATACCCTTCCCTTAGCACGCTACCTGTCACGTCATAGTGGCATGTTGGTGAAGTTGAGGGGATATTCCAGATGGGCCAGGCTTTGTTTGTATTTATTTCTATAAGGAACCTCAGTTCTCCTCAGGAAACAGTTATTTTCTGGCATATGAGTGTATTTTCTCACCTTCCCTTCTTTTCTTCCATCCATTCACTTGTGTATTCTTCTCCTCTGGGTGATCTAATCCATTTTAAGCCTTTAGGTTTTAATATATCTGCTTGAGATGTTATCTCCACCTCGATTTATATAGGCAACTATGTAGTGGATTTTCTGATCTGGGTGCCTGATAGACATGACAGATTCAGTATACCCCAACTCTTAAAAGAAGAATAAATTTAGGGCTGCTGGAATGCTAGTCTTTCTCCTCTGCCATTTCCAGTTGCACACATGCTTAATATAATATGTAGACTTGCTCATGGCATGATAGCTTATCTAATACCAACTCAATGATGGGAAATCCCTACCATATAATTTTTATATACATGATATGTGTAATTTAAAAGATTAAGTTGGAGTATTTCTTAGCATTACCTTAATTAGAATTTTAAAAATCCTTTTGGAAAATAAGGATATTTATTTCAGTAAAAGAAAAGACCTGGACTTTAAAAGTGAAATGTGACATGTTTTAAGGATTGAGGGAAATATCCCAAATTCTAGTATGTTAGAGAATGTCTGAGGAATGTGATTGTGATAATATGCCTTGTTAGGAAAGCTCTTCATGTGTCTCTCCTTTTCCTAGGAGCTTTTTTAAAAAAAGATTTTAAAATTAGCATATATTATTTGTACAAGGGGAGGGGTTTATACATAAATATATATGTGCTATGTGGAGGTGGTTATTGAAATTAGGGCCTCATGATTGCTAGACAAGTACTCATTGGATCCTCAGCTCCCTGGGTATTTTTGTTTTGTTTTGTTTTTAATGCCTAAATGTATCCTCTGATTTCTACTACCTTAAAACTATTCTTTTGTCACCTCCGGTTCCTGTCTTGTCCTCAGCAAACCTGAGGAGGAAAAGTTCACAACCAAACACATGAGCAAAGAGGACTCCAAACAAGGTAGTCCAAAACAGTGGAAGTGGCTGGCCACATAGGGAAGGGTAAGAGGACAACAGGACAAGTCCTGCCTGCCCTCCTTTTTGGACTGCATCTTATTTTCTTGGTTTGCTTAATTTATGTTGATTGTAAAGGTGCTGTATAGAGGGGTTACAGTTACAAAGGTCAGGTAATGAGTACATTTCTTTTTTAACATTTGATCCTCAGCAGGCTCCAGTAATCATAGGCTTGGGGTGAGATGGATGTAATTGGGCAGGCAAGGCCTTCTGGACAGAAATGCCACAGTTTGCTTGTGGCACACTGTTTGTAGTTCAGGGAAAGTTTAATTTGATTATGGAGCCAGTGATCTGTGTTCTCTGTCTGTATAGTCAGGATTTGGGGACCAAATGTACCAACAGGTCCGGGTACTTGATGCTGTTTTCATTGCTCTGGTCCATTTAGCATAGGTAATGGATTGTTTTCAGTGAAGATTAAATGTTAACAGTTACGACTTTGCTTCTGCAGAAATATTTATATTTAAGACAATGGAATTAATGGATTGTATTTTGGGAGTAATATTTATGTGCTTTGCAATCTCAGATTATCCTTGATGTAATCCCTGATAAAATGCTTGCATAAGTCACCTGGCTTTTGTTTATGGCTATATCCTATTGTGTGAATAAATGAGGTGGGTGTACAGAATTAGAGGGAGATGCCTGTGTGCCAGTTTTTAAAAATAAAGGCTGTGAGGGCACTTGGTGATTGGCGAGAGTCCACGTAGAAGAACATTGCAGGAGTAGTAATGTGTTGACCAATGTAGTGTTGCTGGTCCCTGTTCTGAACAGCCACTAAAGATCAGCTGAAGCACAAGAATATGGGCGACAAGACAGTGGAGAGAAAGGGAACCAGTTTCCTTTTAGAACACGTTACTTATTTTAACATATTTATTACTTGAGAATCTTATTCATATTTCACATTTTTTAGTCCAAATTTAATGACACAGTTTCCTCCATGCATCAATTCCCTTCTTGGTTTCATTAAAATTATGTCTGGTTTGTTAAACAAATACAGTAAACAAATGTTTGCCATGTTGTTACCTGTAATATATAGCTTTTCATAGAACTCTGTAAACTCTGGGAGACTTTGACATTTTAAGATTACTGCAAGTATAATAATAATATACTGAATATATTTTTTACGCTTTTTTTCCTAAGCTACAATTAAATTTTATTTTGGCTTCACCAGTAGATACATGTGAGTTATTTTTACAAACCGTATTTCCTGTATTCTGGTCCCACTCAGAAATTAGATGTTTAGCTTTATATATTTATTTATTTTTTGCACTCTCTGCCTGGACCATCTTTATTTATTTTATTATCTTTAAGAGGTGTATTCAATACAACATGCTTGTTTGTAAATAATGCATCTTGATCATTCTTGTCCTGTTCATCATTCTCTTCTACCTCTCCCAACTTCACTGGAATCACTACCAACACTACTTCAAAAATTGACACTGCAATTTTTGACTCCCAACTCTGTCACCTGCAGCTCCTTCTCTAAGCAAGGTGGATAAAGCATACCATTTGTGTTTTCCCCAACTGAGATTTTTCAGTTTTCAGAAACATGCTTCTACAGCTATCTGACATATCTGACCACGCTTGAACAGCTGAGTGCTGTTACAAATAGTTCAGGTCTAAATGTCAATGCCTTAGCAAGAAAAAAAATAACTGTGTTGCATTTCCTTTCCTGTTACCCCTAAATATACTATGTATGCTCATACATTAAATATACTATTACAAATGTGTGGGTCCTATTTGCCTGGTGGAAATCTTTGAATTGATTTGACAGTATTTCGCTTTATTATTATTTAATCAAGACCTTAACATGAGTAGAAGGTTGTTGATTTCAGACTTTGAGATCCACCACAATTCTTGCAGATTTGTTCTTCTGGATCTGTGGAAGCCTTTTGTTTTCTTTGAACATGGTGAACATCTTGGCATATGAATTCCAACTTTACTGGTGGTGTCATTATTCTAACACAGGTATGCTCTGTGTACCCACCTCTCTGCAGGAATTGTATGCCATCCCCATTAATTGCTATTCTACAACTGGAACTTTTGGATATTTAGGTTCACAGCTTCACATTCTAATTTCACTATATTTGTCTGTGGACAGACTATAGAAGCGATCAATTCTTTGCTGCTTCAAAACAGCCAAACTCTGTGATCTATATAGTTTTTGGCAAATTGTGGTCAGTCTTTACACATAAAGAGTTATTCTCTAAGTGATTCTCAGGCATTTACATTTTATGCTGGATCAATAAAATTGAAAAAGAAAAGTGATGAGACAAACAATTGATAAAGAACACATCTTTAATTGCCAAATGGAGGAGGGACATGGTCTGAGAATAAGCCACTGACCTTTACAAATTGAGTAGATTAAGTATTTTAAAAACTTGTTACATTATTTCTATTTTCATCTTTCACTGCAGGTACATAGAACTTTCTCAGGGTTGGGCACTGTTTTGGCCCACAGACCAGCAGAGAGTATGTATGGTCATGACTTTCTCACCTTCTTGGCATAAAAGTCTGTGATTTATAGTGTATTGCACAGCAAGTGATCCAGTTCTTTTGTGGGCAGACCCTTATCTTTATTTATGTTGCATTTAAAGAGCTTTATTTGCTCTCTGTATTCTGAAAGGGCTTAGTGATAAACTACCCACATATGAGCTGTTCTGGAGATTTAGTACATTATGTCAATAGAAGGAAAAATAACAGTTCATTGTACAGAGATGATCCGTTAATTGTGAACAGTTCAGGCCTTGGTTCCAAGAAAGGCCAATGATAATGTTATGAAGACCATATCTCATAATATAATTATAATACTAACCACTACAATTGTTCCCTTTCCTCTTAGCACTGGTCCATGGGGTCCGCTTTTCCAGATCCCTATACTTCTTCCTTCTTTTCAGGCAAATAGAGGAAACTGTTATGAAATGTTCTCTTGGTAAATTGATCATTTGCATATTTACCTGAGAGTATATATTGTTTAATTATTTTTGGTGTGTGTGTGTGTGTTGGAGTTTGAACTAAGGGCCTGGGCACTGTTTCTGAGATTCTTTTGCTCAAG